TCAAATTTGGCTTGGTATTTGTCAAGATATCTTCGCTCAAAAAACTCAAACCGTCCATCAAAACAGAAGCTGCGCCATAATTTCTCATAATTTGAGTAATATCTCATAAAATACTAATTCAAATTTAATAATTTTTTTATTTGAATTCTCTGTCTCCCTAAAATTCAAGTAAAAAAAAATTCATCAAATTTGGCTCTTTGTTTTAAAAAAAAGCTTGGGATATGAATATTAAATTGCCGATTTCTTTCCAGATTCCAGATTCTCAGTGATGTGATCTACGAAATTTGATGATCACAGTAAATTGAAAAGAGCGATAAAATCAATCAAAGTTTTTACCTAAGGATATATTTTGGACATATTTGAATATCTACAGGCCAAAGTTTATTATAATTCCTTTCAGACCAAGGATATCCAGTGACTGTTAAATAATTGATGTAAGCATCAAAAAGAGGATCAATTATTTGATCCGCTTCTCCAGGAAGATTCGATTTCCAATCTGTTGGACAACGGGGCCTTGAGATTGGCACATCCTCAATTAAGCCTTGTCTAATTTTATTTCTAAGTCCATGCAAACTATTAGGAGCGATAATGACTAAAATATATGCCAACAATAATTAGAAAGAAGGTGGTTGGCTCTTTATGATTCGTCTTAAAATAAATATTTACATTCTTCATAGTCTTCCAACCATCCCATAAGTTTCGGTAAAATTTTAGATAATCTGAATTTATATCGTTCCTCAACATGCCATTCGACTGGTTGTCCAGTATAATTTGTAACCTAAAAAAAAAAAAAAAAAAAAAGGAGAATTAAATATAACTATATTCGAAAAATAGATTGGAACTTACTTTCAATTTCTTTCCGCTATGAGGATGAGTAAATTCTTTGATATCAGTTTCATCATAAAATAATCGATCATTTTTTGAATACCAGCCTTCAACTTTATCTTTATAAATAAGATCATTTTCAATCAACCGATTCTATTAGAATAATATGCCAAAATAGACGAAATAGAGTATGTAAAACTTATAATATGAATAAAAATTAATGTATATGTTCGTTATAATGTAACTTACCCAAACGTATCCAACGGTATTTTCATGCCTTTTTTCGGTTGTACGGATAAAGTCTGTGTAAGAGACCATCGCAGCATCTAACAATTTCTAAATTATAGAATTAAAAATTTAAATAGTGTTAAAAACAATAATTATGCACGGTGTTATGGAATCATAAATATTACCTTGTACTTATTAGATATATTTTTACACTGCTCTTGTAGATTTAAATCCGTTCTTCCCAAAACATTTTTAACCTTTAGGTGGATATTAATAATTATTATATTATTATATTATTATATTGGTGTTTAATAAACACTATAATTTAAAAGTGAATAATTACCTTTAGTGCACCATATTCAGAAGTTCCTACACTTAATTTTACTTCTAGACCTTTCAATTCATAGTATCTTTTAAGACTGTCTGCTGCAATTGCTGTGTATAAGGAGCTAATAATTGTATCTGAAATATTAAAATAAAATATATACGTCAGAAAATAAAGTTAATAAGGAAATTTAGCACTTAATAATGAAACCTACCAGAATGAAGTGTAAATATTGGAGTTGTAATAAACATTGGCTTTTTCTTGGTAGTTGATATAATAGGAGTAGAATCATTATATATTATATTTCGAAGTGACCTATTGGAAGAGATACAGCGCGAAAAATTCGATTGATCAAAAAGTCTAAAGCTTGAGAATTTGAACAAATTAGAAACGGTCATTCTAATAGTAAATGTACGTAAGAAAGAAAAGGTTTGATAATTTTTGATAATCTTAATTTTAGTATATTTCTGCTCACGTGAACAATTTATATGATAATGCAGCTATGTATTAACAGACAGTTTTTATGCCAGTTTGTGCGATGTAACGGTAACCTAATGCCAATATGAAATAATTAGGGGAAATCACATCCCAAAGGAGCATCATACCATTTATTTCAAATTCATAAAATGGAGGATGAAGAACTTTTTGGACCTGGTGATTTTTCAGATAGTGGAGAATTAGAAGTAGATAACGTAATGAATGGGACTGAGAATCATGAGAATGATACACAATTAACACCTGACCCATTAATTTCATCTAATAGTGAACATCAAAAAATAGTATTTCCATCGATACCAGGTTTATACCTTTATAAAAATTTGTTAACTCAAGAACAACAAAATAAGCTTGTTGATGCAATTATCCATGAAGGTTATTTTGAGAGACCAGAATCAAATCAAGCAATGTGTTTTGGTACACTTCCACCTTTTATTATGCGAGTTGTTGATATTATTGAAAATATACCTTCCATTTTTCCTGATGAAATAAAAAATAGAAAGCCTTTATTTGATCAGGTATGTATGTATTTTATCGATGAAGATACCAGTTATATTAATATATAAAAACAATTCACTTCTACTAAGTCCATTACTTATCAGCGCATTGATTCAAAATTTGTATTTCTTTCATCTTTCTCAAAGTAATTGAAACTCTCAC